CTTTGAAATACTGACTTCATTTTCTTTGGATATACACCCAGTAGTGGGATCCTGGATCATCTGGTATTTTTACTTTAAAATTTTTGAGAGGCCGGGCGCAGTGGCTCAAGCCTGTAATCCCAGCACTTTGGGAGCCGAGATGGGCAGATCATGAGGTCAGGAGATTGAGACCATCCTGGCTAACACGGTGAAACCCCGTCTCTACTAAAAATACAAAAAACTAGCCGGGCGAGGTGGAGGGCGCCTGTAGTCCCAGCTACTCGGGAGGCTGAGGCAGGAGAATGGCATGAATCCGGGAGGCGGAGCTTGCAGTGAGCTGAGATCCGACCACTGCACTCCAGCCTGGGTGACTCCGTCTCAAAAAAAAAAAAGAAAAAAAGTTTTGAGAAATGTTCATATTATTTTTCATAATGTCTCTGTTAACCTACATTCCCACCAATAATGTGCAGGGGTAACTTTTTCTCCACATCCTCACCAACATGTCATCTTTTGTCTTTTTTGTAATAGCCATTCTAACAGGAGTGATATAATATCTCACTATGGTCAAAATTTTCATTTCCTTGATGATTAGTAATTTTGAACTTTGTTTTATATTTGGCCATTCGTATATCTTCTTTTGAGAAATGACTTTGCCTATTTTATAGTATAACTATCTCTTTTTTTGCTGCTTAGTTGTTTTAGTGTTGAATATTATTTCCAAATAATAATAATAATAGTAGTGTTGGATACTATTTTGGATATTAATTTATTAATTCCTTATCTGATGTATAATACATAAATATTTTCTACCATACTGTAGATTGTCCTTTCACTCTGTTGTTCATTTCCTTTGCTGTGCAGAGCTGTTTGGTTTGATGTAATCCTATTTGTCTATTTTTGTTTATGTTGCTTTTGCTTTTAGGGTCATATTTAAAGTTTCATAGTTTTGGTTCTTACATTTAAGTCTTTAATTCATCTTGAGTTTATTTCTGAATATGGTGTGAGACAATAATCTAATTTCATTCTCCTGCATGTAAATATCCTGTTTTCTCAACACCATTTATCAAAGAGACTATCCTTTTCTCGTTTTGTGTTTTTGGGACCACTGTTGAAGATCAGTTGGCTGTAAATTCATGGATTTGTTTCTGAAGTCTCTATTCTGTTCTGGTATGTGTTTAGTTTTATGCCAGCACCATTCTGTTTTGGTTACTATAGCTTGTAGTATATTTTGAATTGAGTCAGTGTGATGCCTGCAGGTTTGTTCGTTTTGCTTAAGACTGCTTTGCCTATTCAGGCTCTTTTTTGGCTCTGTCTACTTGATTTCAGTATATTTTTTCTACTTTGATGAAGAATGTCATTATTATTTAGATAGCAAATACATTGATTCTCTAGATCACTTTGAATAGTATTGACATTTTAACAGTATTATTTCATTTCATGAATATGAAATATCTTCTCATTTATTTGTGCTGTCTCCAATTTCTTTTCACAATGTTTTAGAATTTTTAATGTACAGTTCTTTCACTTCTTTGGTAAAGTTTATTGTTAAGTATCTTATTTTTGTAGCTATTGTAAATGAGACTTTAAAAAATTTATCAGTTTGTGGTTACTGTACAGAAATGCTATTAATTTTTGAATGTTAATTTTATATACTGCAACTTTGCTGGATTTTTTGTTAGTTGTAAATTTTTTTTACTGGTTTCTGCAGAGTTTTCTATACATCAAATTAAGTCATCTGTAAACAGAGACAATTTAACTTCTTCCTTTCCAATTTGGATGCGTATAATTTTTTTCTTTTGTCTAAGTGCTCTAGCTATAGAACCTTCAGTTCTATATTGAATAGAAATCTTGAGAGTGGCCATTCTTGCCTTATTCTTTAACTTAAAGGAAAAGCTTTCCTCTTTTCCCCACTGAGTACGATGCTAGCTGTGGGTTTGTCATATATAGCCCTTATTTTGTTAGGGTACATTTCTCCTATACCTAATTTTTGGGAATTTTTATGATGAATGTAGAATTTTATCAAATAATATTTCTGCATTTATTGAAGCAATCACATATTTTATATTATTTATTTTGTTAATACAGTGTATCACATACACTAATTTGCATGTGTTGAACTGTCCTTGCATTCCTGGGATGAATCCTACTTGATGATGGTGAATGATCTTTAAATGTGCTGTTGAATTAGGTTTGTTAGTACCTCGTTGAAGATTTTTGAATCTATATTCATCAGACATAATGTCCTGTTGTTTTCTATTTTTATAGTGTCTTTATCTGGCTTTGATATGAGGAAGATGCTGGCCTTGTAAAATGAGTTTTAAAGTATTCTCTTCTTTTCAATATTTTTCAGCAGTGAAGCCGTCAGGCCTAGGGCCTTTCTTTGATGACACACTCTTTATTACTGATTCTATCTCCTTACTTGTTGAACTGTGAAGATTTTGTGCTTATTCCCAATTCAATTTTGGTAGGTTTTATGCATCAAGGCATTTATCATTTCTCCTAGGTTATTCATTATGTTGGCATATAATTATTCATAGTAGCCTTATGATTTTTTTATATTTCTGTTATATCAGTTATAATCCTCCCTTTTACATTTATGATTTTATTCGTCTTTTTTCATAGTCAGCTTATAGTTTATTGACTTTGTTGATCTTTTTGAAAGCCCACCTTTTAGATTCATTGATTTTTCTATTATTTTTCTAGTCTCTGTTTAACTTATTTCTGCTCTGATTTTAATTATTTTCTTCCTTCTACTAACTTGGAGCTTAGCTTTTTGTTTTTCTAGTTACTCGAGGTGCCATATTAGCTTGTTTATTTAAGATTTTTCTTTTTTTTTTTTTGATGTAGGCATTTATTGTTGCTACCTTCCCTCTTAGACCTGCTTTTACTATATTTCACAGGCTTCAGTATATTGTGTTTCTATTTTCACTAGTCTCAAGAAGTTTTTAACTTTTTTTTATTACTTCATTGACCCATTGGTGGTTCATGAGCATGCTGTTAATTTATGTGTGTTTGGGAAGTTTCCAACATTCCTCCTTTTATTTATTTATAGTTGGATGCCATTGTGATCAGAAAAGATACTTGATATTATTTCAATGTTTTTAAATTTGTCAAGATATTTTTTGTAACCTAACATACCTATACTGGAGATTGTTCCATGTTCTGTGGAGAAGAATATGCATTCTGCAGCTGTTAGAAGGAACATTATGTCCTAGTTTACATTCCCACCAGCAGTGAAGTATTCACTTTTCACCACATCCACGCCAACATCTACTGTTTTTTGATTTTTTTGATTATGACCATTCTTGCAGGAGTAAGGTGGTATCGCATTGTGGTTTTGTGTTTGAAAAACAGTGTGGAGATTCCCTAAAGAACTAAAAGTAGAACTACCATGTGATCCAGCAATCCCACTACTCGGTATCTACCCAGAAGAAAAGAAGTCATTATACGAAAAAGATACTTGCGCACACATGTTTCTAGCAGCACAATTTGCAATTGCAAAATCGTGAAACCAACCCAAATGCCCATCAATCAACGAGTGGATAAAGAAACTGTGGTATATTTATATGATAGAATACTACTCAGCCATAAGAAGAGATGAATTAATGGTGTTTGCAGCGACCTGGATGAGATTGGAGACTATTATTCTAAGTGAAGTAACTCGGGAATGGGAAAACCAAACATTGTATGTTCTCACAGATATGTGGGAGCTAAGCTATGAGGACTTAAAGGCATAAGAAGGATACAGTAGACTTTGAGGACATGAGGGAAGAGTGGCAGAGGGGCGAGGGACAAAAGGCTCCAAATATGGTGCAATGTATACTACTTGGGTAATGGGTGCACCAAAATCTCACAAATTACCGCTCAAGGATTTATTCATGTAACCAAATACCACCTGTACCCCAATAACTTATGGACAAATAAAATAATAATAAATAAAATAAAATAAAATAACTCCCAAGATTCTAACAACAACAAAAAAAGGAATGTTATGTCTGTGAAGTCCATTTGTTCTAGAGCAGTGATCTCCAACCTTTTTGGCACCAGGCACCCGTTTTATGGAAGATAATTTTTCCGTGGACTGAAGATAATTTTTCCATGGGGAAGATTGGTGGAATGGTTTCAGGATGAAACTGTTCAACCTCAGATCAACAGGCATTTGTTAGATTCTCATATGGAGTGCATAACCTAGATTCCCAACATGCACAATTCACATAGGGTTTATGCTCCTTTGAGAATTTAATGCTGTGCCTGATGTGATCTGAGGCAGAGCTCAGGCTGTAATGCTTGCTTGCCCACTGCTCACCTCCTGCTGTGAGGTTCAATTCATAACAGGCCATGGACTGGTAGCAGTTCATGGCTCAGGGTTTGGGGAACCCTGTCCCAGAGTGTAGTGGAAGTCCGATGTTTCCTTATTGATTCTGTCTGGATGATCCTTCCATTGCTAAAATTCCCCTACTACATCTATACTGCAGTCTATTGTGCCCTTATGATCTATCAGTATTTGCTTTATATTTTTGGGTGCTTTGATGTAGGGGTGCATATATATATTTACAGTTGTTATACTCTATTGATGAATTGACTCCTTTGTCATTACATGGTAACCTTCTTTGTCTCTTTCTGAAGTTTTGAATTAAAGTCTATTTTATCCGAAATAAGTGTAGGTCTTGTTGCCCTCCTTTGGTTTGCATTTGCATAGCATATTTTCCATTTATTCATTTCAGTCTATGTGTGTCCTTACAAGTGAAGTGACTTTTTTGAAGGCAGCATATAATTGTTTTGTTGCCAGGGTATATTGTGTGATGCTGAAGTTTGGGCTAAAACTGATCACATCACTCAGGTACTCAGCATAATACCCAATAGTTAGTTTTCAATCCTTGGTCTCTGCTTACCTCCCCACTCTAGTAGTCCACAGTGTCTATTGTTTCTGTCTTTATGTCATGAGTACACAATGTTTAGATCCCATCTATAAGTGAGAACTTGTGGTATTTTCTTTTCTGTTCTTGTGTTCACTCACTTAGGAAAAAGGCTTCCAGCTGCATCCATGTTGCTGCAGAGGACGTAAGAGGCTGCAGAGGCTGTGTAATAATCTACGATGCACATGTATGACATTTTCTTTATCCAATTCACCCTTGATTGACACTTAGGTTGATTCCATGACTTTGCTATTGTGACTAGTGCCACAATGCACATGCAAGTGCATGTGTATTTTTGGTAGAACAATTTATTTTCTTTTGGAAACATACCAAATAATAGGAATACTGGGTCAAATGGTAGTCCTAAGTTATATGAGAAAATTAAATTGCTTTCCACAGTGACTGAACTAATGTACATTCCCACCCACAATGCATAAGCATTCCCTTTTCTCCACAGCCTCATCAGCATCTGTTGTTTTAATTTTATAGTAATAGCCACCCTGACTGGTATGAGATGGTATCTCACAGTGGTTTTGGTTTGTATGTCTCTGATGATTAATGATGGTGAGCATTTTTTCTTTTTCTTTTTCTTTTTCTTTTTTTTTTTTTTTTTTTTTTTGCCACTTGTATGTCTTCTTTTGAGAAGTTCTGCTCATGTCTCAGGGGACCAACCTGGGGAACCCAGAAATGACACATATAGACCTGTTTCAGGTGCCAAGGTAGTCCTGGCTGGGTCTCATCACCCAGGACAAACTGCATCTATAGCAGCTCTCCTCCTGACTCAGGTTTGTGACCGGGGAAGAGCACAGTTCCAGCACCTATTGCTGAGGCGTTTTCCACAGTTCAGACTGTGGAACCCCTCCATTTTCTGGTCCAAAACTAGAATGTCTGTGCAGCCATGCTGCCAGGTGGGCAAAGAATGGCTGACTTAATATGCATTCAGGTTAAAAATGGCATCCTGACTTTGGGAGGCCGAGGCGGGTGGATCACAAGGTCAGAAGATCGAGACCATCCTGGCTAACATGGTGAAACCCCCGTCTCTACTAAAAATAGAAAAAATTAGCGGGGTGTGGTGGCGGGCACCTGTAGTCCCAGCTACTTGGGAGGCTGAGGCAGGAGAATGGCGTGAACCCGGGAGGCGGAGCTTGCAGTGAGCCGAGATCGCGCCCCTGCACTCCAGCCTGGGCGACAGAGGGAGACTCCGTCTCAAAAAAAAAAAAAATAAAAAAATAAATAAATAAATAAATAAATAAATAATACAATGGCATCCTGCTCTTGGTTCCAGGTCTAGGAAACTCCCTGAAGTTTTTCCCAGTGTCGCTCTCTTAGAGCATCTCCAAGCCTATCCCCAAGTTAGCTCCCAGGCTTGGGAGAAACAGCGTGCTCTCCCTTGACCTGTGTCACTCATCCCCAGGGGAAAGAGGTATCACAGAGGGAGGTTCTCTGCCTCTCTCATGTGCTGGGGCTTCATCACTTTTATCAGACAGACACTGCCAAGGAAGCTGTTTGTCCACATTCTCCTCCTCAAGATCTGAGGTGTCCTTCACTATTCCGGTGGATTCCCATTCTCCTTGAATAAAAGCTCATGGAGTTTATCTTTATATACTGAGGTGCGATTTCCAAGCGGCTGAGGCAAACTAGAATTCTCTAATCTGCCATCTTGGGACAAAATAAAATACTTTTTAAAAATATTTATTCAGCCACTTTTAAGTCTTGATTGGAGATTTTAATTCATGTACATTGAAGGCAATTATTGATAGGTAAGAGTTTACTAATGCCATTTATTATTGATTACTAGTTGTTTTGTAAATTCTTTGTTTTTTCTTTTTTTGCTATCTTCCTTTGCAGCTAAGGGATTTTCTCAAGCAGTGTGTTTTGATTCCTTGCTTTTTAGTTTTTGTGCATCTGTTATAAGCTTTTGTTTTGTGGTTACCATGAGGCTTACAAAAAACATTCTTATCGTTATAATAATTTATTTTAACCTGATAACAATTTAATTTTTATTGCAAAAAACTCACCCCTAAACCCGTTTTGTAATCAGATTATTTTTGTAGTTGTTGAATGTTAGGATTGCTTTATGTATTCTGAATATTAACTACTTATAAGATATATGATTGCAAATATTTTCTCCTATTTCACAGGTTACCTTTTCACCCTATTGAATGTATGGTTTGATATACAGAACTTGTTTTTTGTATGTATTTATTTAACATTGCCTGATTATTGATAAGTCACAAAAACAATTCAATAGAGATAGGATAGACTTTTTGACAAATGGTGCTGAAATACCTGTACATCACAGGTAGAAAACAAATGAATCTTGACCCAAACCTTTTACCTTATATAAAAATTAACTTGGTCAGGCATGGTGGCTCACGCTTGTAATCCCAGCACTTTGGGAAGCCAAGTCGGGCGGATCACAAGATCAGGAGTTTGAGGCCAGCCTGGCAAACACGGTGAAACCCCGTCTGTATTAAAGATACAAAAAATTAGCTGGGCGTGGTGGCGGGTGCCTGTAGTCCCAGCTACTCGGGAGGCTGAGGCGGGAGAATCGCTTGAACTTGGGAAGTAGAAGTTGCAGTGAGTAGAGATCGCACCATTGCACTCCAGCCGGGGGGACAGGGGGAGACTCAGTCTCAAAAAAATAAATAAATAAAAATTTAACTCAAAATGGGTTATGAACTTACATGTAAAACATAAAACTACAAAAGTTTTAGAAAAATATAGAAAATATTTAGGGTCTGATGCTAGGCAAGAGTTACTACATTTTATACTTTAGGAACAATCTGTACAGTCTGCAAAATCCTTAAAAATAGTTGATAAATTGGACTTCATCAATGTTAAAAACTTTGTTTTTTAATCACAGAATTTTTTTTCTCAAGATGCTATTAAAAACATAAAAAGACAAGCTATAGGTAATGGGAAATGTCTGCAAATTACATATACAACAAAGAACTGGCATGTAGAGTATATAAAGAACTCTCAGCAATTATAAAAGCAATCTATTTAGGGAAAGAACAACAGGTTAAAAAAAAGATATTTCACCGAAAGGGATACACAGAAGCCAAATAAGCACATGCAATGATGCACAAAATTATTAGCCTTTATAGAAATAAAAAGTAAAATCACAATGAGATAGCACTATACATAATATCAGAATGGCTACAATATAAAATAGTGGCAACAGTCAATTTGGAGAATAATATGGTTTGGATATGTGTCCTCTGTAAATCTCATGTTGAAATGTAACTCCCAACATTGGAGATGGGGGCTAGTGGGAGATAATTAGATCATGGGATGGATCCCTCATAATTTGGTGCTCTCTTCAAGATAGTGAGTGATTCTCATGAGATTTGTTCGTCTCAAAGAGTGTGGCATGTACCCCCAACACCCCCCCACAGACCCCGTTACCCCTGCTCTCCCCCCGCCCACACACACACACACACACACACACACACACACACACACACACTTTCTCTCTTGTTCTGGCTCTGGCCATGTCATATGCCTACTCTGGCTTTGCTTTTTTGCCATAAGTAAAAACTCTCCAAGGCCTCCCCAGAAGCAGGGCAGATGCCAGCACCATACTGTGTAGCCTGCAGAACCATGAACTATTACACCCGTTTTCTTTATAAATTACCCAGTCTCAGATATTTCTTTGTAAAAATACAAGAATGGCCTAATATAAGGAAGAATATAGAGAAACTGGGTCACTCAGAGATTGCTGGTAAAAAAAAAAAAAAAAGCAAAGTGCTACAGCTATTCTGAATAACCATTTGGCAGTTTCTAATAAAAGTAGACATGCAACTACCCATGCATTGCACTTTGGGGAATTTATCTCAGAAAAGCTAAAATATATGCTTACATAAATACTCACAGGTGAATGTCCCTAACAACTTTATTTGTAATAGCCAAAATCTATAGTCAGCCCGGACATCCTTAAACAGATATATCATTAAACAAACTGTCTCATATATGTATGAGAGAATACTACTCAGCAGTATAAAGGAACAAGCTGTTGATCTGTGCAACAGCTTGGATGAATACTCACAGAATTTTGCTGAGCAAGAAATGCCAATCTCCAAATGTTACATACCACATGATTCCATTTATGTAACATTTTGAAATAGCAACATTTTACAAATGGAGACTAAATCACAGATTGTCACAGGTTAGGGGATGATGCAGGGGAGGATTTATTTATTGATTGATATTTATTTATTTATTTATTTGAGATGGAGTCTCACTCTGTCGCCCAGGCTGGAGGGCAATGGTGCAATCTCGGCTCACTGCAACCTCCGCCTCGTGGGTTCAAGCAATTCTCCTGCCTCAGCTTCCTGAGTAGCTGGAATTACAATTGCCTGCCACCATGCCTGGCTAATTTTTTGTGTTTTTAGTAGAGATGGAGTTTTGCCATGTTGGCCAGGCTGGTCTCGAACTCCTGACCTCAGGTGATCCACCCACCCTCGCCTCCCAAAGTGTTGCCGTTACAGGCATGAGTCACAGTGCCTGGCCAAAGAGGATTTATTAAAGGCAATATAAAGGAGATTTATAATTGTGGAACTTTTAGAATCTTAACTGTGATATAGATACTAACAACTACACATGATAAAAGTGTGTAGAACTAAATACCTACACACACACACACACACACACACACACACACAGAGGCATGCACTGAAGAAAGTTGAATGAAATCACTGAATTAAATCAATGTTAAAATCTTTGTTGTGATATTATATGGTATTTTACAAGATGTTACCTTTGGGGGAAACGGGGCTAAGGGTTCATAGGCTATCTGTATTATTTCTTATAACTCCATGCAAACCTAAACTTTTCTCAATAAAAACTTCAATTTAAAGAATAACAGTTTTCAAGATCTCTGGGTCTCTTTTCTTAATCACACAGATTTTGCCTCCCTTTCTCAGGGCTACGAATACACATTATCATACTCCTCAGTGTTTTGTTTTTGTACGGCAATACAGCTTTATTCTTTTGTAATTCAGAACGTCATGTTATTACTGATGTTTTCAATCATTTTTGGCTACTCCCTCTGGTAAACAGAAACATACAGGTCTCTGTGAGAAAATGAAAATGAATGGAAGGATTAAAAATTAGAAGCACCACATCCACAACAACATGTATTTTTAAAAAAATAAAATTTTTGTTATGGCCATTCTTGCAGGAGTAAGGTGGTATCACATTGTGGTTTTGATTTCCATTTCCCTGACAATTAATGATGTTGAGCATTTTTCCATATGCTTGTTGGCCATTTGTGTATCTTCTTTTGAGAACTGTCTATTCATGACCTTTGCCCACTTTTTGATGGAATTGTTTGTTTGTTTGTTTGTTTTTT